GCTGAAATATTTTGAAAAATAACTATAATGAACTGAAAAAAATATGAAATGTAGGAATGCAAATTGACCAGGCAATAAAGGAGGTGGGAGGGATAACGTGAATGGGAGCAATAGGAAGGGGAAGGGCAAGATGAAATGGGTGAAGAAAAACAAAGGCTAATTCGTTGATTACAGATTTCAAGGGAGTGGAGGCTCCGGGGGGACATTTTCTCACCCCCATCCGTCTCCTGGGTCCCCTGTGCAGACCTTGACTCTCACCAAGAGAGGTGACGCTGGACCTTCCTCGCGCCACACCTCGGACCCTGCGCCACACCTAGGACCTCGCGCTACACCTTTGGACTCCCGCGACCACACCTCGGCGGACCCTGCGCCACACCTAGGACCTCGCGCTACACCTTTGGACTCCCGCGACCACACCTCGGCGGACCCTGCGCCACACCTAGGACCTCGCGCCACTTCGGACCCACGGTACCGGCCCGGCGCCACACCCAACATGTGTGACACAATGCACCACGTCACACAGCGCCACACCTCGACCCGTTTAGCCACATCAACGTGAGGTGGCAAGGTCAACCCCATTCTATACAGCACCATGTCAGAGCTAATGTGGACATATTCTACCTTTGGCACTTTGGAATGTGCTGATTTGGACCAACAACCTCGTGTTATGTTCGTCCAAGATGCCACAGTACCCAAAACCGCATTTGTAATTTAATTCTATGTAATGAAAACCTTATTTTGAAGGGAAACACATCGAAATAAACGTCAAGGGTTTTATATACTTGTCCAGCAACTAGCCTTACGACCGGCCCCGCTGGATGGTCACAAAATATCTCACAAGTGGTACAGTAGTTAGCAGGATCCTATTACAGTTGATGGGGCTTCTATTAATTGATGTATTCCATTCACCTGGGCTCTAGGAGACTCGAACTCTGGACCCCACCAGTTTGAGGCCGAATTGTTTTAATTGATGTATCTTTTTGATCTAGTACGACGCAGGCTAACAACAAGTAAGAGGTTCGTAATCAATAATATATTGTCTGTTAACAGGTAAGCAGTAAATAGGTACCTGGGAGTTAGTCAACTGTCACGGACTGCTTCTTGGGGGGGGTGGAGGCCTGGTCGAGGACCGGGCCGCGGGGACATTAAAGCCCCGAAATCATCTCAAGATAACCTCAATCATCATAACCAGTGTAGCTGACTTTGATCAAATATCAGTATTGTGCCTTGAGCTTGGCCAGGCACTGAACTACTGTAAGGTCTGTGGTGCCGGGATAATCTTGGGATAAAGAATATGGTCCTTCGATGAAAGTTAATTATTACTCTCGTGTCTGAAATATGGCCAAAGTCTGATATATCTCGTAAATAAGATTTGACCATTATAATAAATAAGATAGAGTAATAATACAGCAATATTTTGTGCTGGAATGTATTAACATTTGCAAGTCTGCCGAAGTAGACTTGCAACCTCAATAGGCTTCAGGGACGGCCAAACTTGGACGGCGGAGGGGGTTGGGGGGGGGTTGGGGGGAGGGGGTAGAAATAGCCTAAGCTACTCTATCGCTTTGAGATGTATTTTCTTGTCTCAATAAACGTACTTGAACATAGACGACCCAGATGTTAAATCTATAAATATTCCTCGGCAGCATTGAAGCATATGAGTGCATATTGAAGCATACAAGCATATTCCTCGGCAGCATATGAGTGAAATGACCTAGTCAATCGTTCCCCAAGATCACTGCATTACACAATGGGCAAAAGCTGTAAATAACCCACCACAATGTATACAAGGAGAGTCTCGCTTTTTGCAGGTCGGCGTTCAATCCCCGACCGTCCAAGTCGTTGGGTACCATTCCTTCCTCCCGTCCCATCCCAAATCCTTATCCTGACCCCTTCCAAGTGCTATTATAGTCGTGATGGCTTAGCGGTTTCCCCTGATAATTCCCTCCCTTCCCCTCCTAGAGGTCATCACATTACACAGTTAATTCACTGTATCGTAAATCGTTGTTGTTTTAGATTCAGCTACTCGAAAAAGTTACCTGTGTGTTTTACTTTCAATTTACGGTTTTTAATTGCCGGAGAATCGTAGCGTATCTCCCACGTAAACACAATAGCAGTCAGGACAAGTGCTGACAAGCAGTTTGAAGGTTGGAAGGCGCAGGTAAGGCCAAGTGCAATTTATATTATAAATTAATTAATGACATTATTATTTAAATCTGTCCAAATTTTTAATTTATTTGTGGGTGTGTTACAGAGTTTCTGTTAAGCTGCACAACATACTGTTATAGGCAGAGGATGAGTAACAATAACGTGGCTGAATATATGATGACCAGACCACACACTAGATGATGAGGAGACGACGACGTTTCGGTCCGTCCTGGACCATTATCACAATCGACTTGATAGTGGTCCAGGACGGACCGAAACGTCGTCGTCTCTTGATCGTCTGGTGTGTGGTTTGTTCATTATACTGTTATAGGATAGTAACATTTCTATTTCAAGCTCCTTTAAGTATCCAACTATGTACTCTAGTGTCGGCCTAAATCGTACTACTGCTTGTCTTGTTTCCCTGCAAGCAATTACTCCCAGTCAATTTTTGCAGTCTGACTTACCAACATCTACACTGACGAGCTGATCACCAGTGTCACTTTTAACCAAGCCTAACGTTATCAATAATCTTTATTAAAATATATCCTTGCTCATTATCCGACTAAAATATCCTACAGTTGGCAAGCCTTACAACTCTGTATAGTATTCGCTCTCTTTTACTACAGAATAATTTTTACCAATATTGTACTTTGCCTCAATATTAAGTTAATGAAAAGCGCGGAAGGCGGTCCTTGGGCACGTCGATAGCCTTATGTGACAACCTGTAGGTTTTGAAATTGAAATAAGTTTATAGAGGTTCATTTTATACACACAAAGGGATGAGGTTGCCCAAGCTGTTCTCACCCCGTTTGGACCTGTTGGTGTGTCGGGAGCCGATTGCTTAGTACCTCGTGCTGGAACATGCTGTTTCATCAATGTATTTTTTTTTTAGGGGTGGCGGATCACTATTCAGTAAAATAGTGATTTGCAATATTATTGGCTATCTATTGTTATTATTATTGCCACAGTATTATTATTATTATTATATTATTATTATTATTATTATTATTATTTTATTATTATTATTATTATTATTATTTTATTATTATTATTATTATTATTATTATTATTATTATTTACACGTTATTATTATTATTTACGTTGTTATTATGATTATTATTTTATTGTTGTTATTATTATTATTATTTTATTATTATTATTATTACTATTATTTACACTTTATTATTATTTACATATTATTATTATTAATATTGTTTTTATTAGTTTTGTTATTATTATATATTAGTAGTAGTAGTATCGCATCACCATTAGCCTAGCATTCTAATTGTTTATATATATATATATATATATATATATATATATATATATATATATATATATATATATATATATATATATATATATATATATATTGATTAATTCACTTACCTTTGGTAGTTTTTTCCTGTAATGCGCAGTTACATTTTTGCCTGTAATATGCAAGTTGAATTATTTTGCTTTCAAGCGGGATTCAAGTTAATGCTATTTTTGAGCTGTACTTCATTACAGTAATGGAATATACTAGAATAATCAGCGCTCGAAAAAGCTTTTAATATGTTTCTATTCTATACAAAAAGGAGCAAACTGTTTTCACTAATACAATGTTGAAACGAAAAAAATAATTAGAATGATGAAAGGAAATGGAAATAAGGAGAGCAACGTGAGGAAAAGTGAGAAGAGGAAGGACAATTAGAAACTTGAGAAATGTGATGCTAAGAGAAAGAATTAGGAGCATTTGAATGCGAAAGATGAAACGCCTATGTAGAAGACGAGGAGTAAATTAGATAATAAGTAGAAAGAGCGAGGTGGCGCAAGAGATATCTTCAGAGTGAAGGTATATGTATCTCTCTTTCCACTTCATCAACCCCCCCCCCCACCCCACCTCACGCCCCCCCCCCCCAAAAAAAATAAATCTTCAGAGGGTGGTATATACCTTTCTGGGCTTAGCGCTTTCATGTGATAATTACTAACTTCCTCCCTCGAAAGACTAGTTTCTACAGTTCCAGGAGAGAAATTTTCACTATTTATATTACGTGGGACATTCAGCTCGGGCTCTACCTTCTGACCTCTCAAGGGCTCTGTGATCCCAGTCAGTCATAAATTTAATTACATTTTTTTCACAATGTTGACAATTTGACAAAATTAATACATAAATAACATAGACTGTCTCTCTACTTGGGCTGGACGGTAGAGCGACAGTCTCGCTTCATGCAGGTCAGCGTTCAATCCCCGACCATCCAAGTGGTTGGGCATCATTCCTTCCTCCCATCCCATCCCAAATCCTTATCCTGACACCTTCCCAGAGCTATATAGTCGTAATGGCTTGGCGCTTTCCTCTGAAAATTCCTTTCTCTCAATTTTTGTCATATATAATTTTAAAATATCAGTAACGCTTTAAACGAAAAATAGCTTCATATTATATCTATTTAATCGGAACAAAACATGGCGACTTGTGAGCTCTATCCATCAGTGTTGCTAGCCATGTCTCGTGCTGTTATACATAGTGATACACTTGGTATATTTTATTTTGTTGAAGAAACAGTGTAAATTGTCTCATGCCTCGGTTGGCAGACCTGACTCTCGCCAACCCATAGGTTAACCTCCTCGGGTTATAGTTTTACCTCTTATTTGCCAACATTTGGGGAACTTGCATGATGATGCGCAGCGACTCTTGATCATCTGGGTATGATGTAAGCCTCTGGCGACATATACTTAATTGAAAATAGCTGAAAAGAATTCCCAAATCTGCGAGAACATAATGGCGGTGAAGTCGACGCTGACCTGTTGTTGGCAGCCCTGCGCGTCTTAGCCTCCGGGCAGGTTTGGAAGCTCCCCCAGAGCCAGTGTCAGTTAAGCGGTCGGCGGGAGAGGACTGCGCCGCTCTCTCTCCTCATCTTCCTCTCGTTCTGTGTGAAATAAGTGGGGAAAAGTGCTCAAACAGGATATCCTTTAATCGAAAGTGTAGTAATATGTACATCTAAAGTATCGAGTGGTCCCGAATTCATTGCGTTTCGGTTAAACGAGGCAGTGCAGTAAATGTTCTTGAAAGTTAACAAAGCCACGCTGGGCAACACACAAGAGTGGCTGACGTCCTAAAGAAAAGTTTTCGGTTTATCCCGGTGGTGTGGCGATATTTCTCTCTCGCACAAAGTTAGCAAATTAGTGAAAAAGTGATCAAAGATACATGACAGTGGATTGTATACTGGATACTTACTCCCATCTGCGAGAGGAACTAACATGTTTGGAAGGTAAGGAGGAGGCGCTTCCAGTTTTTCCTCTCTGTTCGGATTTTGTGTTTCTGTTCAACGCGTGTAGTGTGTTGGTGTTTATAATGTGTATTGTATAGGTGTAGGAGCAGTATGCGTAAGCAGGATGTTTGTGGGGATATAATATCGGTTTAAGAGGTAATATGATGGAGGGGAACTGTGTGAGGGATTCCGGCCAGTGGTTTCCAGTTGTTGTATTGTATATTGTATCTTTGTTTGAAGGCTTTTGGTTGTCCAGGCTTCCTGCAAGCAGCATGTTGCTTGTCCAGGCTTCCTGCAAGTTGCTTGCCCAGGCTTCCAGCAAGTTGCTTGCCCAAGCTTCCAGCAAGTTGCTTGCCCAGGCTTCCAGCAAGTTGCTTGTCCAAGCTTCCAGCAAGTTGCTTGCCCAGGCTTCCTGCAAGCAGCAAGTTGCTTGCCCAGGCTTCCTGCAAGCAGCAAGTTGCTTGCCCAGGCTTCCTGCAAGCAGCAAGTTGCTTGCCCAGGCTTCCAGCAAGCAGCAAATGCCATCGTAACTTTATTTTCATGTGTATAAATTGTCGGCAAAGTTCTCTGGCAATTAAATATCAAGAATGCTGCACCTCAAGAATTTTGTTATACCATTGACGTGGTGCCTAGATTTCCAAATGTGTAATTATTATTATCATCTAGTTTTCATATTAATGAGTTATTGTTTATAAACAAGCAACGGAATTACCTGGAGTTGTGTGCGTGTTGGTAGTTTATCGAGAACGTATTCCAAGCTTATTTTATTCATAATAATTATAGGTATCCATAGTATTGTGCGCATTGTGTATGCACAACACCAATGGTAACAAAATGTATTTTTTTTTATAAATAAATATAAACGAAACTGGTTTTCACGAAATATTAAGGTAGCCAGTTGGACGTGTAGTAAGCTTGTACTGTCCGCAGTTGTGCAAATAGTTTGTAGTCACAGAAGGAAATGCTAAGATTCCTTCCTTCTTGTCTTATTGGTTTAAATACTCTAAAGGAAAACAATACAATTCTTCAATTCGTTGAATAGTCAATCGGTAGTGTAGGAATGTATGACTTAAGTAGACCTAGTACATTAAGCTATCGCTGTGGCTATTAAGATATCTATAATGCTTTAGACATCGTCAAAGTTTAACCATTTTGTTTATCATCAATTCGAAGAGTCTGACATTCTAAGACATCCTTCGTGACAATTTTCTGATATTGTTCACATCACGAAGGTAATAATAGTTGGGAATACAGCCTTCATCCCTCGTTGCATATCAATGATAAAAAAAATTAATTTCTCATGAAAACTTATTCCCAAAACATGCAGTGCCTGGTGCATTTATATTGTGTAATTATTGCGAATGTTTTAGTTCAGTAAATTTGAATTAAAAAAAAAAGTCAGGACGCAAAAATAGTGAAACCAAAATAAAATCGATTGCTGACTGCGTTGTCAGTCAGTTGCAACGTGTCAGTGGAGCCGACTAGTGGAAAATTTTGTAAATGTGGGGGTTGGTATTCTGGTTTGTGTGTGCCGGACCAACCGGGCTGTAGTGGATGTGTGAGCCTGCGGGCCGCTTTAAGCAACAGCCTGGTGGACTGAGCTCTCGCAAGTCGAGCCTCTCAGTGGTCTGGTCAACCAGGTTGTTTGGCGCGGCTGGTCGCAGCCTGATGTACATAGCCTCCCAGTTAAGATCATCAAATAATCATTAGTTTTTTTTTTTTTTACAAATTTACAGCTAGTTATGACATCGAATGGAATTGGTAATATAATGCATCATTGCCTCTGCCGAAACGCTATGCGTATTAGTGGCTTTGCATGAATGTAAAAATACCAATCTTATGTAATCTCACAACCCATTTGTACCTTCTTGCAAATAAAATTATTATTATTATTATTATATTATTATGTAACTATAACAGTGAGCTTGCGAAGCAGTGGCCGTTGTAAGGGTGTTGCTAAATAATAAACAAAGTTGTGAAAGTTTTACGAAAGCTACTAGGTTTCTAGATGCCACTCTATAGTGTTTGTTGAACCTACAATCTAGAACTGATATTTAGAGCTGTGCCTAGTGCCTCCCCACTCCGACCTATTAGATGAAGCCTTACTGCCCGCTAAATCTTGACTTGTCATACAATATTGCTGCAGTCTGAATACGTGATGTCCAATATAAGTGATGTAGTGGGACTTTCACTGTTCCCCCCTTTTAAAGTGATATTAAAAACTGAAAAAAATATAGTTGACTGTGTGGAAATCCGGCTTTCTGGGGGGTCTGCACTTAGGCCTATTGGAATCAGGCCGAACTTGGCTTCGCCGATATCTTCATAGGCCTTTCCAGTTTTTCTATTTGCCAAGATTTTCTGTGAGAGGTAGCCTTTTCTCAGGTTTTGGTGTGGCTTTCTGGATTCCAGGGTATATTGGGGAGCCCCCATTGAGTCGTGTTTGATGTACTCTCAGAGAGTAGCCCGGGGGACGAGCCCGTCGTGTAGCTTGTGTGTACACAGCGAATCATCCTTAATAGGTTTCTGTGTGAGATGGATTGTATCTGCGAAATTGGGGCACTATGCCGTTGTTTATTGTCCGATAAAGTACAAGAGGGACTTCGAGACGGCACGAGGTCTATTGTGTAGTACTGTATATACCAATTCTTGTCTTGTACGTTAGTTCAGGAAAAAAATCAGCTCCGTATCAAAAATATATTTTCTGTTGATATTGCTGTTAAGTTGCGCACGCTGTAGAGGAACAAAGCTCTTGGTATGTACGCTCCTCTTAGAATGTTGACCATGCACCACATGACCAAAGAACCAGAGCTCAACCCTCGCAAGCATAACTAGGAGAGTACATGCTGGCCTGGCGCGATGCAAGTCTTGAGTTCATGAAAGAGTAACGTACTTTAACATTTACGAAGGCGGTTCTCAAGATAAAACAACCTATAAAGTGTTTTTGTATTTTTCTTCTATTTAAGGTAGACCTTCAGTGTGTAATTTTACGTCAAAACCATTGTATGCTTAGGCCAAATGGTTATTGAATTATATCCGTAAATGGCTTCGAACATTTAGGTTATTTTACCTGAATATTTGCTTGTGCAATACTGTAGACCAAATACTGTCGCCTGTACCAAATTATACCAAATATTTCTGTATATGCTACTTCAATATTAAATAAACAATAATTCACGAGTAATTATAAATAAATACTGTACATAACCTTGGTTAAGTAAATACAGAATGAAATAAATTTAGATAAGTAATCTATTAAAGTTTATTATATGGCTGCGCATTGCGTTGAAATTATATATATAAATAATAACAAATGTAATAACAAATGTAATAACAAATGAGGCTTACGATTTTATGATGAAAAAGAACTGAAATCTGGTATTTAGTCGGCATAGCTTACGACCTACCTTACGGCTGTTCCAATATCAGAAGCATTTTCATAAACTTGAAAACTTGATTAACGGCAGAACAAAAAATTGGTTAAAGATGAGGTTTTCTCGCGACCTTTTACTAATCAACCAGGTACAAGAAAATACAGTAGTCTGAAATTAAATAATCGAGTCAGGGACGGAGGGGAGGCAAAATTGTGTAGAAATTCTCGCTCTGGATTACGTCAAAGGCTTGGCGTACTATTTGTGAGTAAATTACATATTCCATTGATGCTTCAAATGAGAGATTAGCGTTAGTCGACTGTGCGAAGTTCAATTTTGGTTTCGGCCACCGTACCATTAACCGCGCGAGGATATACTGGGAGTACAGGGACCATTGTATCATTGTCCCTACATCGCCTTGTTATACAGTGTTCGATAACAGGGTTGATTGAGACGATCGAGGCAAGCAGTTGATGAAAACAAAGTAATCGTTGCAGATTAGGTACTATTCGGTATGTGTTTTAAAAGTCTGTGGATTTGAATTAAAAATTTCAATTTTTGTGTGGCCTCAGTGACAAGAATGTGTGTGTCTGTGTAGTATTTATTTATTAGTGTGTGTGTGTGTTTTTTTTAGTGCCAAAGAAACGATCACCAAAAAAACCATCTCGCTTTTTCTAGAATGGCGTCTTACAAAGATGTTTACAAATAGGATGGTCTTATTTGCTCATACTTTACAGGATCTAAGATAATGAAGTAGGCTAGATAAATGAGTTTCAATTTAACGGGGATTACATGTTGGATTAGCTGTTTAATGCTGGGGACATTGTGTCTCGTATTTACTGCAGTAGTATGTCGAGCAAGTGCCAGACTCGTCTTGATATACAATAGACGGAGTGGAGTGTGTCAAATACTACAGTATTGTAGTGGGAGTGAGATTGTATTGTATCGGAATGGGCCAAATACTACAGTATTTGGCCCAAGTGTTTTTTTTTGGGGGGGGGAAATCCTATCTCCATCAGTTATTGTGAATTTCTCCTATCTCCATCAGTTATTGTGATAATTTCTCCAATCTCCATCAGTTATTGTGATAATTTCTCCAATCCATCAGTTGTGATAATTTCTCATATCTCCATCAATAATTGTGATACTTTCTCTCACCCTCGGTGTTCTTTTTGAGATCAAACTTCCTTAGCCTACTAGTCAGGGCATTACAACCTGTAAGCTTGCCCTATTTATTAGGCGTCTTCTGAAGAACCTGAATTCTGACTGGACCACAATCGATCTTTTTTTCAGCAGCCAAATTAGCATGCAGCAACGGTGTGCAAGTACAGTCCAAATGAAGTTGAACTAGTCCCAGGTATCCCCATCTTTGTTATTAAGACAATATTGTTGCAAACATTTAGGCCTCATAGGAGTGAAATCAGACACTCAAAGGCCAGAAAGCACCAGTGTAAAAAGTTATGATTTGTTTAGATCTGAAACCTGTTTCAGATGTGTTTTGCTCAGCACAAAATAACCACCAGACAGTGCGAATTAGTGGCTGCCAGGATCAGGTTGGGCAACCGTTACCTGTTGGTAAGTTGCTACAAGGGACCAATCTCTCAACCCTGAGCATTCCATGTGTAAAATCTG